CTCTGCTCTCTCCTCCTCTCCCTTCATCTGCTCCTGTGTGCTCTGATCAGATATGTCCCTCTCCCGGAGCTGCAGATTCAATGCCGTCCTTTGAAGTGTCATACTCTTCTATTGTCTCCAAGTCTTTACATGAGCTATTTCTTCTGCCCACGATGCTTCCCTCACACATGAACACGCATTACACATCTGCTCTTGCTCCAGCCAACTCCTATTCATCTTCCACCTCTCAGTTTAAACATCACTTCCTCTGGGGAACCCTGGCAGGTAAGTGTTGGATTATCAATCAGCATCTAAAAGGGAGAAAAAAGAGGTTGTCTGCTGCCACAAAGATCTGCAGCCTCAGGGTAGGGAGAAGGTGTGGGGAGAAGGGGAGGAAGAAGAACAGTTCTCCATGATCAACCCATAACCACCACCACCCTCTAGGCCAGGGGGACGAAGAACTGAAACTGTGGGGGAAGGGAGACAGGGGTCAGGGTAAGATAGAACATAATAATAATTGATAATTTATCAAGGGTTCACAAGGGGTGGGGAGAGGAGCTAATATACGAAGGGCTCAGTAGAAAGTAAATGTCTAGCAAATAATGATGGCAGCACACATACAAATATGCATGATACAATTGACACATTGATTGTTATAAGAAATGTAAGAGCACCCAATAAAATGATCTTTTAATAAAATTAAATTTAAAAGATCTATAGCCTCAGAAACCCTACATAGGGCTTGCTCTGCGTCAAAGTTGGCTCGATGGCCAGAGTTCCTCTGGATAACCTTTCCTAGATCCTAGTCTCAGGTAAAGGTCCCCTGTGTGTTCCTATGACACTGTGTACCTCTCCCACCATAACTCATTCCCCTTTAGTATTACTCTTTAGTTGTCTGCCTTCACCTTTAACATGTTATTACATGTATACATTGAGCACTCATTCTGTGCCTAAGTTCTTCATTGGGAATATTTCATTGATGTCTCAGAGCAACCTTATTTTAATGATGAAGAAACAGGTGTGGCAAAGTTAGACACCTAGCTACAAGGCTACATGGCTAGAAAGTGACGAAATGAGGATTCAAACCCACAGCCACACAGCCATGTCCTTATCCACCATGTTCCCATCGGAGCGAGGACTTGCTTTTTTGCTGTATTGCTAGCCCTGTCGGTGCTCAAGAAAGTCTTGAATGACTGACTGCCTCTTAACTACAAGCCCCATGCAACAGGCATGACTGTGCTGTGAGGAGAGAAGTGAAGGCCTTCAGGTGACAGAACAATTGGGCAAAAACCCTTATGGCAAATGAAACTTATCAAAAGTCCTCTGATGATTAGCCACCAGAGAAATGCAAATCAACCTATATCACAATGAGATTCCAGTTCATACCCTCTGTTGTTAGCTGGCTTCAGCAGCCTTGGACTCATGGAGACTCCATGCACAACAGATTTGGAATACTGAAGCGTATTGGCAGGCCTTTAGACCAACTCCATATGGAAGCTCTGCCTACTCTGACAGATGGTGGTGTCTGAGCTTAAGGAGCACTGGCCAGAAACTAAACTTTGGGAGTCAACAGTTATACTACTGAAATACCAATATCTTCTTTTTGTTTATTTG